AAAATTATGTCGGGAGCGTCATCTTCAATTTTTTGAATCATATAGTGTGTGATCCGGATAAAGGATTTGAACATAAAATCTTAAAATTCGATAAAAAATTATTTTCATCAATCTACATAATACCTCGTAGACAACGAAAACATTAACTTATAAGGTTTTGATCTTGATAGGAAGTTGGCCGGTTGAGTCTCATTTATAATGTACTAATCCGATTAATTCAGATTTGTGCCGTACAACTATACCTTTATATGCATTTTCATGCAAAGAGTTAATTTAAGATTTTAAAAAAAAAATGTAGTAAAATTATGAAATAAGAAAATGATAAAGGAGTTGATTCCATGCATCAGGGACCCCAGGTAGACACCAATGAATACAATCCATGCTATTACTATAGATGGATTGATGGCCGTCTGATCTGTATTGTGATAATCTTGTTATGTTGATCAAACGGACGAATAATTTTGACATAGTTTTCAAAACTTTTTCTAGCTCTATTTCTCCTGGATGTATATTTCCTGGACTTTGTGCTGGTCCTGTTTTTCCTTTACATCTGAATATTAAAAAATAAAATTAAAAAACTATCAATTTCAAGATATATTAATATAATTATATAATTACCATCTAAATGAAACAAGAAGTTAACAGATAATAGTAATTTTGGTCCTTATTAGTAAATTTTGCTTTTTGGTACTTGTGACATACTCTGTTTTAATTTATGCAAAAGTGTCTGATTAGGTAACGTGTAAGAGAAGAAAAAAGGAATTTAGAAATTTGTGGCCTAGGACTATCTACAAAGGTTTCTATAATTATAAATTATTTCATTATTAAAATGAAAAGTTTAAAATCAAATAGTTACTAAATATAAAAATATGATATTGTTTTGATGACTATACATATAAAAAAAATGTCATATGAATTGGGATAGAAAGAATATACCTCAACATATTTAACCTTAAATAACTAAATAATGTCTCTTTGATCCCTTTGGTAAAAAAGTATGTTTTATGTAATTTATTTATAGCATTATATCACTGTTAAATATGGAGTGACAATACAAACTTAATGTAGTGAGTAATCATTAAGTAGTGGGATCGAAACGATTAATAATTATAGTAAATTTATGAATATTTATAAGCAATGAGACCAAAAATCGCACGGTTCAACAAAATAAAGGTTTAATATGTTTAATCAGATATCATAGGAATTAAAATCAAAATATATCAATAACCGAGGAACCAAAAATGTTATTAACCCACAATTAAATTTATAAAGAATGATACTTACCCCTCATGATCAGGAGAAACTCCTTGAAAAAAGATTCTTGTTTTTGTTGAATTAAGATTAGTATCAGCCCATTTGGCCCATGTATTTAATCCTTTCTTATAAAGTTCCATTCTATCCATATCTTTATACGTAATATTCCCTTCTTGAATCACATTCCAACTGCAAAAATAAACAAATAATAATATCTTGCATTAAATGGATAATAATTAATTAGTAGGACATACAATAATAAACATACTATATAGTATATTGAAAAAAATATGAAAAATATTACTGTATATCACATGTATATCTCACGTTTGTTTTTTCCCTTTGCGATCCCACCAATGCCATGTATTAAAAACCAATACATCCATTTGTTTCCAAATATTTCCAGAACTAATTGAATCAATCTTGAGTACCCTTGAGCCTTTTTGAGTAACAGTATCAACAATGAGTGGATTCCCAAGGAACAATAACCAAATATTGTATTCCTATATTACAAAAAATGTTATGTAAAAATCAAAGAGTGGACAAAATATGAACATATATATAAAGATGATTTAAGATATATATGCTGATAATGAAAAGAACTTGTATTCTCTATTAGTTTATTTTAACATGTTGTAGCAGATAATTTGGATTATTTTACAAGTTACTAATCTCAATTCCAAGGAACAAGTACCAACTATTGTATTCCTTTATAACAAGAGATGTTATGTATAAACAAAGAGCGGACAAAATATGAATAAGGAGGATTTAAGTTATATAAGCGGATAATGAAAATAATTTGTATTCTCTATTGGTGTATTTTAACATGTTGTAGCAGATAATTTGGATTTTTTACATGTTACTAAGCTCAATTTTATATTATGGACAATTTGATGTAATTATCTTTTGGGATAATAGCACTTCTACTCCCTAAGTTATATATTGATAAATTTTGCTTCTGGTCATTGTGATATATGACTTGCTGTATTTAGTCTTTAATTAATTAAAATGTATTTGTTTGTTTCTTTCATGTTAAAAGTTGACTATATGTTAAAATATATGTTATCGTCAAATATGGAACAATAACACAAATTTAACATAATACACGAGTAATTAAATGGAGGAGCGGTCAATTATAATGGTAATTTTATGAATATTCACAAACAAATAATCAAAAATGCACAATTCTATTAATTGATGATTGTATACGTGCTTATCAAATATCATTATGATGACTAAAATCGAAATATATCAATAATTGAAACACCAAATAAACAAGTGCTACTAATTCTTTTATATATATATATATATATATATTATCAATTGATAGTGTAAATAAAATATTATATTGTCAAATTATAGAAGATAAATTTGAAAATAATATATGGCTTACCAAAAGGGTGAATGTATAAATCTTTCCAATTTTGTCCATGCTATACTTGGCTTGTGGTAGTGAAACATGAAGCATACATGCAAGAGAAACCCATTGATTTTGACCAAGTGAATCCCCAACAAACATGATGCGTTTTCCTTTGTATTTTAACACCAATTCAGTTCCATTGAATCTATAAGAATTAGAACATAAAAAAGGAAAAAAATGTCAATGATTAATTAATTCAATAATATTGAAATCCTTAATTTAGGGTGTATTTGGTACGAAAGAAAAGATTTTTCTATAAAAAAATAAGTAGTTTTATTTTTTATCTTTTGATATTTGATAAATAAATAGAAATTATTATCTCAAAAGTAGTTCTATATACTTTGACAAATACTATGAAGCCGGTGGAGGTGAGTTGGGGTGGTGGGAGTGCGATACTAGTGGGGGTGTTAGGATAGATGCAAAGTCAAGATATTGTCTATGAATCAAAACTATTAAGTTCTGTTAAACCCTTTCCTACGCTCTATCCCTGGAGACAATCAACCTGAAGCATCAATTATGAAATCTATTTATCCTCTTTTCACCAGGAAAATCATTTTCCTAATATTTCAGAAAAATATTTATAAAACATTTTGATCGATCAACTAATGAAAAAATCGAAAAATATTTTGTAAAATTGATCTTTCCTCTGTACAAAACACACCCTTACTAACCAATATTGAAACAATAAATTAAACAAACTTATTTCAAAAATCAATTACCTTGGCAAATTACATCCAACTGGTTGCCATCTATACTTGAAATAATCTTTATCAAGGCGTCCATTCTTTTGACAATCAAATGAGGGCTCAATAAAAGGACAAGTTGATGCATTATATAGAGAATATGATTCATCAAGAACCCAACTCCCTTTGTAAATATCACACCCCTTATTTATTCCTACTAAATTTACCTCATTGAAGATTTTGGTTTTTGAATTCAAGAAAAGAGAAAGTGCATAGATGGTTAAAAATGTTGATACAATGGCAATGATAGATATAGAGTAACAAACCATGAGAAAAAAGTTCAATTTTTTTTTATTGTATCAATAATTTGATGTACAAATGAGGGAACTTTGGTCTTTTGTATGTGTGCAATATATATAGGTGAAGATGAAATGTATTAGATGAATTTCTGAAATGGATTCATGCATGTGTTCAATTTTTTTATGTTGCATAAGTGATCATGATGATTAGTAACTTATAGAAAGTATTAATATCTCCTCTAAACAACTTGTTTGGATGGTTGTAGCTATTGTATTATATTATATTGTACTGTTAGATTAAATACAGTATTTGTTTTGATTGTTACTTGAGTTTTATTGTATATCGTATCATTAAATTAATCATTACGTAACGATCAATTTAATGTGATCGCATCGTTACCTTATTATTTTCTTCTCGTCATAGTCATGTTTTATCCCTTTTCCCTACCCTTTTGTAATACTCTGTCTCATATCCTACTTTTCTTTTCGGTTTGTTCTTCAAATTGCTTATGTGTAGCATTATGTAACGGACGACAAACAATATACAATCTATCCAAATATTGTATTTATCAAAATAATACAATACAATACAATACAACACAATATAATACATATATGAAATAATTATATGTAACGACCATCCAAAGGTAAGCTAAATATTTTTCATGAAAAATATTACTTGTTGATGTTTTGCTTTATTTATCAATTCAATGGATGTTGACGGCTTGATTTGGAAACCAATAACTTGTGTCATTAATTGCTAGTTCCACTCTTTGATTCACTTCACTAATTATAATATATGCTAATTATTATTGCTAGTAAATTTTGGTTACTTGCTTCCCCTATCTTCATTCAACTTAAGGGTCTCGATTTCCATGGTTTAAAAATTAAGGTTCTAAAAGTTTCCATCGAAACATACATAAAAAAAATCATTTTTTAACATAGGGAGAAGAAATTCGATTGACAGTTCTGAAAAGTACGATGTATCTAGTTTGTCAAGGATAGATCTAGAAGTTTGCTTACAGGTTCACGTGAAACTCTTGAAAAATCTACTTAAATATTTGATACTGAACTGAATTATTATTATAGAATGAATTTGAATCGATGTAGAAAATCATAAATTTTAAATTCTGAATTCGCTTTTGTGCAAATTTCCAACTTTAGTTTTTCAAAACTATCAAAACAGTTTGACTGGATTATTTAGATAGAGATGGGGGAATCATACTGTTGGACTTTGGCCCAAAGTTTTGAAGTTATGGGCTTTTCTTGGAAGTCAATAAGCATTTTTGCGATTTAAGATGCATTATGGATAAATAAAAGTGAACGAACAGTAATATAATTGATCTATATTTGATCAAGAATTGCACTTAATAGTACATTCCAAGTATCAGCAACACCAGCAATACACCAATGTGTGCAATCCACATATCTGTGTCCACCAAATCCATAAACTGATGGATGACCATCTACTCTATATTGTGACAACTTTGTTACATTCAACAAATGAACTGATTTATTCATCCCTCTCAATACTTTCTCCAACACTATTTCTCCAGGATGTTGTCCTTGTGTACTCTCCGACGGTCGCGTTGCTCCGGTACAACTAATTTTATAACCAAATAAATATACTGTCAGTGTATAAAACTTCAACATTAAAAGATGTCACGTAAATTGGGACGTGTGTTGAACTTACTTGTCATGGTCAGGAGAAACTCCTTGGAAAAATATTTTGGTTTTTGTGGTGTCTACTTTAGTGTCCACCCATTTTGCCCAAGTATTCAATGCTTTCTCATATAGAGTTACACGATTTGCATCTTTGTATGTAGAGTTTCCATCTTGAACAAAACCCCAACTACAAAAACAATTATAAACTTATAATCACAACAATATGTTCTATGTACTGATGATGTAAAAAAATATATGTATAAACTTATGTCACATATAAGATAATGTTGAATAAATTTAATATCTTTATTGATTGGTATGATAACTAACGTGCTATTACATGTTAAAATATGAGAACTTACGGTTGTTTTCTACCGGTGTGAAACCACCAATGCCAAGTATCAAAGACGAGGACATCCATTTCTTCCCATTGAGCCGCGGCACTGAGAGAATCGAGCTCTAAAACTCGGGTTCCATTCTTCATTTTGACAATGTCTACTAGAAAAACATTTCGAGATACCAGGTAGGACGTGTTGTATTTCTGTAAAGAGTAGGATACGAAAGTTTATTTATATACAATGAAAAGCTCTATTTTGAAAATGTATTTCAACAAGAAGTTTAAATAAGTCGACTTATATTTCCATAGACTAAATTTAACGTTACAGAAAACGTATGTACCGGAAATGTGAAGAAAGAAGTGGATCCATTCCTCTTGGAGATATATTTAGCTTGTGGATCAACTGCATAAAGCATACAAGTGAGAGATTGCCATTGATCCACACTTAGTGAATCTCCTACAAACATCACCCTCTTCCCCTTTAATTTGAGCTGAAATTGTGTAGCATTAAACCTATACACAAATGAACATACATGACATCAAGGGCAAAATTAGTCCTTTCTGAATAAGGAAAATTGATTTTTTTTCCTAATAAAAGTAAAGAAAATAAGTTTTGTGGTTGGCATTTCATAAAAGGTGTTAAATAAGCAGGTTAAGTTGAGTTTGGACTAGTCAAAATTAATTGAGTTAATAAATCTGAGTGGTTATTGACTTCACCCAAAAGCTAGTTGAACTGAAATGAGCTTAAATTATATAGGGCATAACTCAACCGTCCAATAAAACTTTTTTTTATTGTTACAGTAATATTATATCAAATAAAAATAAATCTTGTTAAAATTTTTCATGGGTGAATTTGGATTACCTATCAATCCAATATTTTATGAGCTGAAATGGACGAGTCAATAACCCACCCAAACATGAATACGTTCTGTTTTCACGAGCTAATTTGCCACCTCTCTTCTCCCGCCTCATCACCCCACCACCCTCACTCCCCACCCTACCTCCCACCAGAAATTACCCCTCTCATCCACCTTTGACCTATCCAACCCCCACCATCGAGCCCACCTCGATCTCTTCCCTACCTCGAGTCCCCAACCGCCCTTTCATCATAGTATTTTCCTTGATTATATATAAATATCCGGGACAAAATTTTCTGCCTACTCCCCAACATAATAAAAAAAGGCAAGATTTTTTTTTTTTTCTAAAATACACATTTCCCTTCCTGTCAACCACACCCTAATTAATTGTTCCATAAAAAATAACTAAATTAAGTACATAAACACAAATCAAAAACTAAAAACAAGAACAACATAGATTTTTAAAAAAATGTACCTAGCTAAATTGCACCCATGGGGTTGCCATCTATATTTGAGATAATCTTTATCTTGCCTTCCATTATTTAAACAATTAAATTGTTTTTCAATAAATGGACAAACAGATGAATCATAAAGAGGATAATCATCATCATAAACCCAATTTCCATTAAATAAATCACAACCATTCATTCCCAATTTGTTCACATCATTCATCAACTTCCCATCTACATTTTTCAACATGAAAACAATAAAAAATAATACTAGAGAAAAACTAGCCATCATTATAAGACACGCCAAAAAGTAAAAAATAAAAAGCTTTAGTCTCTTTTTATTTGTGTCTATTTGATACTTGGAAGGGTCCTATATATACATAATATTTTTTCTTAAAAAAGAATCAATGAGAAAAAAGGGCATTAATTATTTTCTTTAATTACTAGTCATTAATAAAATATCCAAATAAAGAAAATGAGTAATTTTATTAATGAAAAAGGAAGTAAAAACAAAAAGACGGTGGAAATAATAAGTAGATTAATGTATCAAATTGGGAATTATGTAAACATAAAGTGCATGATATATGTTGGTTAGTAGTTTACAAGTAGTAGATGTGATAAATAAGTATATAATAAATATCTTGAATCACAAAAAGATTTAGTTAAAACTACTAATCTATTAGAATGAATTTTCTCTATTTTCATGTCCTTGATTCAAATCGATAACAAGAAAGAAACTCAAAATGAAAGACAAAGAAAACAAAGGAAATGATCTAGATAACGTGGAGCAATTTAAACTCTTGATTAGAATTAAAGAGAATTGAATTGTGGCTGACTAATTTCTTTTCCAATTGTATATAAAAATTAATTCTGGAAGCTTCTCCTCACACCCTTAGCATGTTGGAGAGTAACATTTGTTAGATTGATTGTTGAATGTGTACAAATAACAATAAGATAAATGTATCTCAGTATTTTTATTTTCGTATACAATACTTGTACAAATATTAAATTTTGATTCAATACAATCATCAAAACAAAAAAAATCAAATATTTTCTCCACATTCTTTTATGGTATCAGAGCAATAGATCGATCCAAGTTTTTACAATCATTTCATTCAAATTTCATAGCCTTTCAAAACAAATTATCTATAGTACAAATTTCGCATAATTGAATACACTTTTGTACTAATGAAAACAATCCTTTTGACAAAAAAATAATAATTATTTTTCCATTACATTTCTAAATTTATGCCTTGCAAATTTAAGCTATATATAAGGATAATTTGATTCATAATTTTTCATTAAATGAGCATAAGAAATAAAAATTGAAGACCATCATATTTGAAGGAATTTTTTTTAAAGATCACAGTAAAAAGCCAATCCTTGCAAAAACTTGGTTTTCAACTACTGGCAAAGTTAAGAATTTTATCACAAGTGTTTAAGATTTAAAATTTACATTAAAATTAATTTTAAATTTTTATATATAATATAAATTTTATCGAAGAATTTTCAACTGATTATCCTTCACTATATGTGTCTTCAAAAAACAATGAACTCGAAACACGTTTACATAAAGTTAGTCGAACAAATATTTTTACACATGCCCTGACATGTCAATCAAGAAACACAAAATACAAACAAATCCTTCATTTCTATGGAAAAAAAACCACAAACCACCTTATATATAATTACGAAAATTTAAGTAATTACATGATTTAAGATAATATAATCTTTAAAAAATTCTACCATTTGAATTTATTACAAAATTTCTCTTTTAATTTTCCTTCTCTCTAGCTCTTAACATTTAGATACATCACTGCACCTTTATCATATACATTACAATTTTGTTTGTCTACAATGTATCTGGTATTAATGTTATTGTTAATACATAATCTCACTTATTTTAAACATAAATAAGTATGAATCTGATTTATAGTTATGTATCTGATACATAACTTATATATTTAATACATAACTTATATATCGTTTGCTATGTAGTAATGTATTTGCGAGTTCTGAAAAATTTGGAATTATTTTAATTTGAAAAACTTTCGAAATAGGATGTAAGTAGCGCTCAAACGGTTGGAGTTTCTCTACTTTATACATATATAATTAACATATGATGAAGATATTAATATTGGACCATCACTAGACATAATAATATAAAATGTTATTAATGTTTTGATTAATTATCCAAGAAGTGCACTTAAGAGTAAATTCCAAGTATCAACAACACCAGCCAAACACCAATGTGTACAATCCAAGTCCCTATGTCCACCATGCCCAAAAACTGAAGGATGACCATCTGCTCTATATTGTGACAAATTTGTTATATTCAATAAATAAACTGATTTATTCATCCCTTTCAATACTTTCTCTAGTACCAATTCTTCTTCATGAACTCCTATTGTACTCTTCAATGGTTGCGTTACACCTTGACACCTGTTTGAACCTGAGATTCCAGGGCTAATTTTGAAATTAAGTATTATTCGTTAGTGTATAAAACTTAGACGTCTATTATATATTATTTCGCAATAAATAGTATAGTATAATTATAAGTATAAATATTTGTTGAACTTACTTGTTGTCATGGTCAGGAGAAATTCCTTGGAAAAATATTTTGGTTTTTGTGGTGTCTACTTCAGAATCTACCCTTTTTGCCCATGTATTGAGTGCTTTTTCATATAGAGTTAGACGAGGTGCATCTTTATATGTAGAGTTTACATCTTGAACAAAATCCCAACTGCAAAATTAAAGTAGACCATATATAAGAACATGACATAGTAAAAAAACTTAAAATTTCAAGGCATATATTATGAGTTAGGTTGATTTGAAGTCGAAATTTTATTTCAGTACTAAAAAAATCATTATTTGTCATTGATATTTCTCATTAAAAAGTGTTTCAGTGTTATTCTCATAGATAATTTGATTGAATTAGTAAGAAAACAAAAAAAAAATAGTAGTATTTTCACAAGGAAAAATTAGAAAGCTTTCCAGCATTTCAGAGAGGATCTGTTTTTCATCTTTCTAGTGGGCTAGTTCAGTGGGAAAATCATGTTTTATAATATAAATTTCTCATCTTATGAAATAGTCGATCTAGCTCGTTATAAATATAATTAGATGATGACTTACGGTTGTTTTCTTCCAGTATGAAGCCACCAATGCCAAGAATCAAATATAAGAACATCCATTTCTTTCCATTGAGCTGCAGAGCTCAGAGAATCCAGCTCTAAAACTCTAGCTCCATTGTTCTCCGTTTTAATGTCTACCAGAAAAGCATTTCGGTACATCAAATACGACGTGTTGTACTTCTGCATTAACGTGTTCAAGATTTAATATATACGTCAGTGATCGAGAATTGATCTATTCATCATAGAGTAATATGTTGTATAGTCAATATAGGATTTATTCTATTTCATTATTTATGACAAGCATACTTGTCAATTGTCATGTTTCACTCTCGAGAGTGAATTTGAATAATTATCATGGTGAAAATGTATTGTAACTTAAGATATTGGTCAAAATTTATGTAATTTGACTTTAGAGAAGCAAAATGTGACAAGTATTTTGAGACGGAAGGTACCGGGAAAGTGAAGATAGAAGTGCCTCCAATCCTTTTGGAGATATATTTAGCTTGTGGATCAGCAGCATGAAGCATACAAGTTAGAGATTGCCATTGATTTAGGCTTATTGAATCTCCTACAAACATCATTTGCTTCCCCTTTAATTTCTTTTGAAATTCTGTAGCATCAAACCTACCAAAAAATTAAAATAAAATTAAGGACAATAATATATTTAATTTACGATTAGACGACAAGCTCGTATATAAAAAGTGAAGTTGTGTTTGAACATGAACTTTAATTTTTTTTAAAATATGAGTGAAAAAGGAAATTGTTCAAAATTTATAAACAAACAATATTTTTTTTGGAAAAAAAATAAGAATAAAAAATTCTACGTCCAAATGACTATTATAAATTTCTAATAAGACCAAAGACTTCTAACAAAGTGCATCTCTTTTTAATTTTTTTTTTCAACGGATTAACCGCAGCCGTTATTGCTACAACCTCCGCTACAGGCTCTATTCTTCGGGTGAGCACCTTATGATGAGAACTTTGTGCACATTGGGTAAATCTTTTACTGTGTAATAGCTTACAAATCACAATGTAAACCGTACTAGATAAGCCCTATACGACAAGCTCGACTCAAAAGACATTGAGGGGATAAATCTCGAGTCATCCATCTGGACAACCATCCTTTAAACCAACTGACCCATCGGACAAAGTGCATCTTTTCCCCTAAAGAATTCGGATGTTCATTTGACATTTTATTTTATAAATATATCTTTTGCTTTCTTAATTTCATTATCTTAACTGAATAAACAAATAATTAAATCAAATAAAACAGACAATTTGCAATTGCACATGATCAGCCAGCTTGGAAAATCTTAAACAATATTAAAGTGTTTAATTTGATTTGCTTATATTGTTTTCTAGCTTTTGTCCAAAAAAATTCAACTGTCTTCTATCTGCCCAAGTGATAAAAAGTTGCCATTATGTGACATGTGAAATGTGATAATTTCAGATTTTTTATTTAATTAAGAAAATCCCAAACTTGGAAATAAACTCTCTTTAAAGTCTAAACACTCATAACAAACTAGCCAAAAAAATGCAAACTAAAGAAAAACCAAAAATAGAATGTCCACAAGTCTCGTGATTTTTCTCAGTTAAGAACTTATTTACTTATCATTAATCTTAGAAAAATGAGAAAAACTTTTTCAATAATAGTATTGCAAAGAAGACGTTATATCATGATTTTTTTTAGACACATTTGGTTATAAAGTATGAAATTAAATTTCAGAATTTTCAAGATTTTGAAAAATAATAATCACTTAAAATTACTCACAAAAAATTCAAAAACAACTCCAATATGTAATCATGACCAAATACAACTAAATTTTCTACTATCATTTTTTTTAATTTTTTTTTTTTTTCAAATTTCACAATAAAACCTAGAGAAAAAAGCTTATAGGAAAAGTGGATAAGATGTATCTATCGAGCAATCCCATCCAGCAATTAATTAAAAGCAATGCACGTTATTTTCCAATTAGCTAGCAATGATCCCCAAAATTGATGAATCCAAACACATTTGGTCCTACAATCTTGTGACTTTTTAAAAAAAAAAATATATATTTAAAAACAAATACTAGAAACGTACATACGTCTGAACTCTGATGGAGTAAGTTTAAAAAAAAGAAAAAAGAAGAGTAGAGTAATTAATAATTTTTTCTTAAAAAAAACAGAAAATAAAGAAGACAAACAAACAGTCACGGGTTAAAACTTAAAACGTTTCCACTCTAAAATTTAGAAGTTGTGCAGACAGATAAGTAGAAAAACAAAGGCAAAACATAAAACATAACCCTACCCTCCAGTCTCATTTTAACTGTCGTTTTAATTTTTTTTCAACATTTTTCTTATTGATTTAACATAAAAATTTGATGGGGATAAATTTTTATCGTACCAATACTATACAACAATAACAATCGTAATAACACGGTACATGTAAGGTCTGAGAAAGGTAAAATACACGTACAATAACAATCGTAGTAAGTACAATCAATATGATCCAACAAGTAGGGTCTGAGAAAGATAGAGTACACGTACAATAACAATAACAATGGTAATAACACATTTAGTATCATCGAATAAGTAAAGTCTGGAAAAGATAGAATACACAGTACGTAGACCTTATAATAAGAAGAAAAAAAAAAGAAATGAAACATATAATTAAAGAACATAAGAGTATACCTGGGTAAATTGCACTCTTTGGGTTGCCATCTATATTTAAGATAATCTTTATCTACCCTTCCATTCTTCAAACAATCAAATTGTTTTTCAATAAATGGACAAATAGATGAATTATAAAGAGGATAATCATCATCATAAACCCAATTCCCTTTGAATAAATCACAGCTGTTGATTTCCAATTGGTTAAAATCATTGATTAATTTCCCATATACATTATAATTGCTCAACAATATGGAAAGAAGAAGCAATAGAGAAAACATGATTTTTTTTTCTTTTTGTTGAATTATTTCTCCTTACTTTTTTTTTTGTCTTCAAAAAATGTGAGGAGAAAATAATATATATTAAAGTGATAGATATAGAGAATCCTATATATATACATGTAAAATAATTACAATAATTAATGTGAGAAAGAGAATTACAGAGAATTAAAGAAACGCTAAGAATGTGATAAAGAAATTTAAGTATGAAAAAAGAAAGGTTCACATGTTAGTTAGAGTGACACTTTTACCAACAATTCAACTTGGGTCGCAGTGGAATGGTTCAACAATTTTTTGTTCTTTAATCAGAGATTTTGAATTCGAGTCTCTAGGAATGAAAATATACCTATTTGTGAAGTCTCTTACAATGAGAAGATTTAAATTTAGTTGAATCTCAATATGAGTATCGAACAACAGCAAAGGAAAAGAAAGAAATGATACTTTTACCAACATGGGTCCCAGTGAAATGGTTCGAGATCATTTTATCATTTAATCAAAGATCTCGTATTTAGTCTATGAAAATGAAAATATCCTATTAGTAAAGTTGTTCCTAGAAATAATTTTTATAATGCTTGAATTTAAATTCAGTTAGACTTCAATACGAATGTTAGACGAAAATCAAAAAGAAAAGAAAGAAATGATACTTTTGATCCTAATTAACACCTAATTTAGTACATAGATGAAAAAAAAAGGTTGGTAGTTTTTGTTTATTAATAACCAATTAAGAAAATAGGTAACAAAGAAAGATGATGGGTAAAAAGGAAAAGATAATGGAATAAATTTAAAGCTATTGTATCTAATAATTTTAAATTTAAGTATGAAAAAAAAAGGGTTCACGTGTTAGTTAGAGTGACTCTTTCACCAACAATTCAACGTGGGTCGCAATGGAATAGTTCGAGATTTTTTTATTCTTTAATTAGAGATTTTAGATTTGAGTCTTTAGGAACGAAAATATACCTATTTGTAAAGTTGTCCCTACAAATATATAGCTCTTGCATTAAGAAAATTTAAATTTAGTTGAATCTCAATACAAGTATCGAACAACAGATGAAAAAGCAAATGAAAAGAAAAAAAATGATACTTTTACCAACATGGATCGCAATAGGATGGCTCGAGATCCTTTTATCCTTTAATCAAAGATCTCGGATTCGAGTCTCTTAAAATGAAAATATCCTATTAGTAAAATTGTTTATAGAAATGAGCCTAAATGATACTTTTGATCCTAATTAACACCTAATTTAGTATATAGACTAGTAGCTTTCTTGATGGATAAAAAGGCTAGTAGGTTTTGCTTATTAATAACCATATTAAGAATATGTGTAACAAAAAAAAAAGATGGCTAAAGAGGAAAAGATAATGGAATGAATTTAAAACTATAATATCTAATTATTATTATTATGTATGTAAACAGAAAGTGCATGATATATGATGGACTATGGTTTGTTAGTAATTCTAACTATTAGAAGAATGTATTAGTTTTTCAAAAATCCTTTCAAAGATCAAATATTTTTAAAATTATTTTGTGTTGTCCTCCAATTAATTACCATATCTCAAATAGAAAATTGTTATACTTTTATTAGGAAATGAGGAATCGAATACGGATATGATAAACTTTGCCCCAAAAAGACGAACAAAAATAACTTTAACAAAAAAAATTCATATATTTAGTGACCATTTAAGAAATTAACTCGCTATTATTCAGCACTATTCCAATTCTCTAAACTCCCCCAACAATGTCTCTAAATTCTTTGCACCAATGAACATAGTATAAAACTTGCCATCGTTCTGTTACATTTATTGATTTGATATAAAACACACAGCGCAATTAAATTTTTTCCTACGAAAGTATCAACACAACAGTATCATTTTTTGTTTGGTTAAGTCGTTAGCAAGTAAATTTGGAGACTGATTCAGTCTCTCAGTCCCTCCAAAAACTGAAGAAAACAAACACTCCTGGATAACTCATTCATGAACAGACAGTAAATATAGAAATCCTTAAACATGTAATGACAACAAACTAATCAAAACATCCATCCAAGCAATGTTCACGTTCCGAAATAGACGTTATAGCAAGGTAAAACAGAGAGTTATAATACCACATAAATGTCTCTTTCGCGCTTGTCAATTTGATTCTTCTAAGCCAAAGATCAAGATCAGCTTAAATCTTTGTAGACGATTTCTGCTTTAGGTGATACATGCGGAAAATTTGAGATCTCAGTGAATATTTCTTCTCTTGTGTCGAGAGGCCCCTCATCTAGAAACTGTCGATTGATTACCAGCCTCTCTAACACCGGGGAGTTGGCTAACAAATGCTTGATAAACTGCATCTCGGATGTTCTTCCTATAAAGCTTCCAAGCTGAACTTCCCCAAGGTGGTTAAATGTCAGGTCTGACAAAGTTTCGGGTTGAAGGGATTCTTCAGTAGATTCTTCATCAGTATCACTATCATCTTCATCACAAACCTAAGAAAGATAATAAGAAGTCGACTATCAGATTATTGAAGATAAAAAAAGTACGGCAAATAACCACTAAATAAGATTAAAAAGTGTCAAAGCACTACAAACCTCCATTTCGAGATATTCCAAATATGGGAAGCTTCTTATCAAGCAAAGAACATAAGAAAGCTTATATGATTCCACCAGCAAAATGTCAGGCAGGTAAAATTGTTTGACATTGTTAAGATTATAGGGAAGCCTTGTTGGTATTTCATATCCTTCTTCAGCAACGAACTAAGAAAAAATTACATAATTTCAAGATTAAGTCAGCCCAAAAGATATTCCATCCGTTAAAGTGTATAACAATGAAGACAGGGAGAAACATTTACCTCCGAATTTAAGAAGTTCAAGCTGAGGTCCTCGAGAGCAGAACAAGACTCGAAAATCTTTGCAAAATCAAGACTCTCTGCCTGCTCAATGTCACCTAGCAGAGATGCTTCTACCAGACGAGGGACATTCTTTAGGCAGATAGAACTTATATCGCCTGTGAAACTGAACAATCTCAGCATAGGAGCATTAATTTCAATCCTGTCTAAATCTTCTGTGGTAGACAGCACCAATTGCTCAAGTAAGGGGCAATGAGATATCAAACTTTCCAGCAATTCAGAAGAAGTTGAGACTCCACATAGTTCCAGGCTGATTAACTTATCAAATCCTTCAAAGGCAGATGGATGATAAATTGAACAAGAATGGAGATTTAGATGTCTCAGCTGCGAACATGTGAAAAGTATAGATGACAATGTGTATCGCTTTCCAAATGGAAGGTGCAGAACAAGATCTTGAATGTGATTCCTGAGGAAAAATATGAAGTTGTCAACTTCAGGACACCTTTTTAGATGAACGATGTTGAGGGTAAACTTAGTAATGGGCCCTTCGTGAAGGGTCAAGAGCTGGTAGATGATCTCCCTAAATCTAACTGTAGGGTTTAGTAAATCCTCTCTTGTTTTCCATAGAGATTCATCAAGGGTCAACTCCGTACGTCTACACCAGTGATACCTCCATTTCTTTGATAAAACACTTGTCCTCACAGCATCTTTGCAAGGCAAATGTATCAGAATGACGTCGATTACATTATGGGGAAGATTGCTAAGGATGTCGGGCCTTAAACTTTGGCAATGCTCTCTTCCCTTAGGAGGCATCATAAACCACTAAGAACCTGTATAAATAAACAACATTATGAGGTAAGGAATCTCCAAGCTATTTGGACAATGCTCAAACAATCTCCAAATTATCTGGACGGAATTACTATTCACTCTGTCAAATCAACACAACAACACAAGGAGTACTTAAAACAATAATCATCAAGAACCTGCAGAAAATTAATAATAATATGAAGCATGGAATCCTCAAACTATCTAGATAAGATATAAAGGTGCATTGTCATTGACATCATCAACTGCTTCCTGTTAAAATCAATGTTACATTTAACTTGACTTGAGATGCCAAGTGGCATACACAGAAGTTTTAGTAAGTGGAATATTTAAATAAGTGAAAAAGCACAACAAATCATCTCAACACATCATACAAGAACACATGATTCAAATCATACTCAAGAAACTATCGGGGATCGAAATGACTTAATTGACCATAAAAGATTGATAAACCCCAAATTATTTCATAGGAAAAAGTAGGGGTGTGGCCATTCCCGGACCCTGCGTTTGGTGCATCAGGCTTCCTTTTGTTTCATAGAACTTAACACAGAGAAAAACAATGGATGTTTTAACTCATAAAATCTGCTCATTTTAAGTATTAAAAAATAAACATAAGAAGCAGTTTTTTTTGCTTGATATAGAACGTCTTATCAGTAGCTTTACTAGCATAAAAATTTGTAAACACTAAAGAATATAGATAACTTAAGCATAACACTAACCCCAAAAGGAAAAGTAATGATTTTTCTACCTCCACGAGATAGTGGTAAGGTATGCATACACTCTACCCTCTCCATACCCCACTTAGTGGGATTTCACTAGGTATGTTGTTGTTGTTGAGTGCTTCAGTTGTAGGGCACTATTTGGACTCTTCAATTGGTTTGAAAAAAGTGAAAATCAATACAGAACTAAAATTGAATTCGGTTTGACAAAAGTGGAAATAAATACTAGACATTCTAGGAGAAAAACTTGGTCACTTGGAGAAGCAAAGAGTAATAGCTAGATAAGATACAACATGTCTACTGTGGAAGTGGGATTCTTTTCGCCCATGAACGGGATTCAGATGGGAATCATCTCTCTCCATTTCTTCATCCTTGTATGGAGGGTCTTAGTTGCATGTTTGAGAAAGCCAAACAGAGACGGTGGTTGGAGGGTTTTAGGGCTGGAATCAATAGTGAGACTCTTATGTCCATCTCACACCTATCATTTGCAGATAGCACACTTATTTTTTGTGGTGCTAAAGGGTGAAGGAGAGATATAAATAGACAAATCTTAGTGATAATCAAGACTTCAAATGGCCTTGGAAGCAAATCTGGAGAATCAAAGTGCCACGCAAAGTGGCATGCTTCACCTGGCTGCTAGCCAATGAAGCAGTTTTGACATTGGACAATGTGTCCAAGAGAGGTATCTCTCTATGCAACAGATGCTCCCTATGAGGTAAGGATACAAAGACAGTTAGACACCTCTTTCTACTTTGCAATTTCACTGACCAACTAGATTTTCCTTAATCTCAGAGGAACTTCCTGGAGTTTTCCTAGTAAGATTGATGAGACTCTTTTCAGTTGGAAGGAGGCTGAAGTTGGGGCTACAAACAAAGAAAGATGGAGGATGGTCCCTGCTTGTATCTGATATTATGATGAACTATATGGAGAGAGAGAAATGAGATGTTTTGAAAATAGGAACAACAACTGCACGAAGTCAAGCTTAAATGTATTTTATTGTTCTGTTTTTGGTGTACAAATGTCTACTCCAATGAGACTAAGTCAATCATAGATGTTTTAGAGGTCCATCAAGATTTTGGTTCAGTTTTGGGGAAGATTAAACTTCTTTTTCTTCTTATTTGTAAATATGATTTTTCAGTACTAAGGTAGTAGTGACTTAAATACAAATGTTGCCAGTGTAAAAAAAAAACCCCAAGTTCTCTACCTTAACCTCACCCTTACAATTTTTGAAGTATTGTCAGGCCTTCATATTAACATGTTGAAAGTGTTATTTATCTTGTTAATGTGGTGCCAAATTTGGTGGAGCTGGCTGATATTATGGAGTGCACTATTGGCAATTTCGCAACAACCTATTTGGGACTACCTTTGGGAGCCAAACACAAAGCAACTGAAATATGGAATGCGGTTATTGAGAAATTTGAGAAAAGACTAGCTACATGGCAAAAAGGGTACCTTTCTCTAGGAGGAAGATTGACTCTAATAACAGCGTTTTGGTTAGCATCCCAACAGATTTCATGTCTCTTCCCAATATCTGAAAAAGTCTTCAAGAGTCTAGATAAAATCCGGAGAGACTTTTTATGGGAAGGCAACTATGAATCTCACAAATTACACTTTGTGAAGGGGCCAAAAGCCACTCTTCCCAACATCTTGGTGGCCTTGGTATCAAAGATCTTGCTATACGTAGCAAGTGTATGCTTATGAAGTGGCATTGGAGGTTCATTCAGAAGGAGGCTGGTCTGTGGAAAAAGGTAATTGTGGCTAAGCATAGCAGTAACACTCAATGGTGTACAGAACAATCAACACTTCCCTAGGTAACTGGATTATGGAAGGCCATTTAATACCTTGTGCGGTAACTTTTTCAAACAAACTCACTTTGAGGTAGGGAATGGGAACCATATCAAATTCTGGCTAGACAAGTGGACAGGAGATTCCACTTTGAAAGAAGCCTTCCCAAATATATTTAACATTGTCAGACATCCTAATTATTCTATTGCTCAGAACAGGGATGACAACTCATGGAACCTGAACCTAAGAAGAAATTAGCAAGATTGGGAATTTGAAGAGTTATTGAATCTGCTCAAAAGCTTGGAGAACTGCAACATTAACATTCAGAGCAGTGATAAGTTAAAATGGGGCTTCAACAAAAATTTTATACGTAGTCAAGGTAGGATGTGAACACTTGAACTCCAATAAGATGACAATAGATCAGTGGTCCTGGAAATTAGTCTGGAAGCCTAAACTCCCCCCTAAAGTCTCATGTTTTACTTGGACAGCCTTAAAAGAAGCATGTCTCACTCAAGACAATCTTATGAGAGGAAGATTTCAACTGGTCAATAGGTGTTGCATTTGTCAGTTAACATCAGAAGCATCAACCACCTCTGCAACACACTTTTGGAACATGTTACTAGCCCTTTTAGGTATAAACTGGTCTATGCCCTTCAATATCAGAGATGCTTACACTAGTTGGAGCTGAATGGAAGTTGGAAATCCATCAGAAAAATCTGGATCATGACCCCAAAAGAAACAAGAGATTTTTCGATGGAGTTTCAACTCCAATTTGTAAGCTTAAGGTTAGTTGTTTGGTTAACCTTATTAGCTGGGCTAACTCTTTCCCTGTAAATAACTTAGATCACTACTTGAATTTTGTCATCTACTTAGCTCTATAAGCTTTTTGTTCTTACTGAGCTGACAGATTGCCCTTTCGTATCTTTGCATCTACTGGACGCCTTAATGAAATCTCACTTCATCAAAACACAAAAATGTGTAATTACTAGATCAAATGCGGAAATAGAATATATAGCTATGATCTAGGGTGTGTGAATTTTTGTAGTTAGAACAAGAGGAATTAAGATTGTGTGAAAAAGATAAGTTTTCTTGTTAATGAAAATAAGGTTGCAATCTGTATAGCTCATATTCCAGTCTAGTATGCCTGAACAATACATGTTGAAATCAATCGAAACTTCACCAAATATAAAGTTACGAGTTGTGTCTTGCGTTTGTTCCATGTGTCATTAGAAAAGCAACCAACTGATGTGTTTATCAAGGGTATCAACAATTGGACTTTCCATACACTAGTTTGCAATGGCTTTTAACATAGTTTGTTAATGTAGAGACTTTGTTGGCTTTTACAGCTTGTTAATATAGACACTTTTACAGAAGGGTAGCTTTAACAGTTTGTTAATATAGAGGACATGGTTGACTTATAACATAGTGAAGGAATGAAAAGAATGAAAGAGAGATAAGAAAAAAGAAAGAAGGTAGTTTTCTCTGCCGAAGAGAGGTGCCATGTCACCTTGACTGTAATGACCTCTATATATTATTAGCATGTTAAATTATAAAACATAAACCTAATGTAGAAACTTAACTGAATTCACCTCTGCAAATCAAAAAACACGACACCATTGCACACACTGATCTGCAACCAAATCAGTAATAAAATGAAAAATAATGGAGAAAAATCACATGAATATTTTGGAATTTTGTACTATTCGTTGATCATGTATCATATGCTTCTTGTCTATGGAGAATTTTTATTTCCTTCTTCTGAGAGGAGAGGGTTTCTCTTTCCGTGTGTATTTCTGTCTTTATTAGTCGACATTTTGAAGATTTTTTCCCCTTTCAATAATATTATGTTGACAAAAAAGAAAAGAAAAGAAAATTACATTTGTTGCACAATGCTTTGTAAAACTAATCTCAAAGATTCTAGCTGCTAGACTGCAAAAGGTCATATCTAGTATTATAAGTAATGCTCAAGATGTTTTATTCCTCAAAGGAAGATTGGTGACAGCATTATATTAGCTCATGAAGTGGTGCATACTTATTCCAGGACATATATATCCCCAATATGCATGATTAACATAGACTTTCAAAATAGTGAATTAGATTTCCTAGACAATTTATTGGTTGGGTCCTTGAATGTGCGAAAATAGTGAATTATACTATTTTGGTTAATGGAGAATCATCGGCTAAAGCAAGGAGACACATAACTCCTTTTCTATTTGCCATAGCTCTGGAATATCTGAGTAAAAGTCTGAATCAGCTAACACAGGGCAAGGAGTTCCACTTTCATCCTAAATGCTCTAGAATGACGATAACACATCTATACTTTGCATATGACCTACTATTGTTCTCCAGAGGAGACTTACTTTCTGTCAAGGCATTTTAACACTGTTTCCAGAAATTCTCTTTAGCTTCTGAACTACAAGCTAACATTGGTAAGAGTTCATTGTATTGTGAAGGGGATTAATCTGAGATAGACAGAAAGCTACAGTATCAGGGCTATTCCTATGGAGAACTACAAGTCAACCTTTTGGAGTTGTTCTTGAACCACAACAACTTGTGCTGGAGGACTGAATCTTACAAATCTACTAGTTTGGAATTAAGAAGGTATAGGAAAAACTTGTTGGGACAATAGTCATAAACATGGCAAATTATGGATCAAAGATCAACCTTTTGAAGTTGTTCTTGTACCACAACAAGCTTACTAGATGGTAAGGTATTTGAAACAAGGACTAAACTAGCTCTTATAAGGAATGCTAATCAGACAGACATCTTACTCACTGCTAGGTGATGCCCAACGTACCTTGGTAATACCTTATGTTCAAGAACGGTGCAAGGCCCAAAGCAAAGTTCACCAAGTGGCTTCGACTTCAAGAGAAACTGATGAATACTGATACATTGAGTAAGTAAGCATTTGGATAGAGAAAAATATGAAAATCTTTGAGCAGAAAAGCAGAGAATGGGGAAGTCTAGCCAGAGAAATTGCTATTGTTTGTTGTTTCATATATAAATAAATTAAAATTAAAAAAGATCTAAAAAAATAAAACTTCAATAGTCACTCCTTTTACTGCTGATGAATAATCAAAATGCTCAAATATTGATCTGACCAAATTCAATATCTCCGACATAATCTGACGTAAGAATAAAGAAAAAAACACCTTGATATTACAGCCTATTTTAGAAAAACTAAGACAGGAACATTCAATTAAGAACATTCATACTAAATGAGTAGTATTTCATCATTTGGACAACTGAAAACTCAAAGTGTTTGCACTTAACAAATCAAGAAGTTTATTGAACAAACAGATACAAACAAATATCTTAATTTTGAGTAAAAAATAAAAAAAATAAGATATTTGTTTGTATCTGTTTGTTATATAAACTTCTTGATTTGATAAGTGCAAACACTTTGGAGTTTTCATAAAATATCTTATGTGCATAAAATTTTAGATGAAAAACTCAAGGGAAAATACATAAAAAAAACCCTGAACTTGGCACGAAAACTTACTTTAGTACTTAAACTACACGGGTGTTTATATACCCCCTTAACATCTTTTATGTGAATTATTTTCAACCCTCCGAACACCAGCCCAGTTGAAGGCTGGGCATTGTTACACACGCGCGTTTTCATTGGTCCACGTCGCTAAGGGTTTAAAAAATATCTTACCCGTTTTATATAATCCACCTGTTCCCAAAATACAACCCGACCCATTTCTAAACAAATATCCCTAAATCTCTAAGCCCGATTCTCATCCTCTCAAATCTACAAGACCTAATCTCAAGATTTTTCTTTCGTTAGCGTGAAGTAATTGATCGCATTGTGTGCTGCAATTTTGTTCAAGAAGTAACGACAATCTTGAAAAACTGATAAACAATCTGGAAAAACAAAAAAGTGAGGAAACACAGATCAAAATAATAAATGAAGAAGAATAAGTTTGAATCTTACATTTTGAAGAACAATAATTCCTTCAAAGATTCAACTTTTAGGTTTGAAGAGCTAAGATTAGAGAAAAATCAAGAAAAATATAATAAATTAGGTCACCATTTTTGGATGATTGGGTTGGTGAGGGAGAAGAGGTAATTAGGGTTCTTAAAAAGTGAAGATTGTTCTTCAAATGGGTAATGGGTCGGATATTACCGTTGGAGGGGGAAATTTAATTTTAAAAAAATGTTAAAAGATGACTAATGCGCCGTTCTAAGCTGTAACAACACGCGCACAAGGCTGGTGTTCGGAGGGTTGAAAATAATTCACATAAAAGATGTTAAGGGGGGTATATAAACACTCGTGTAGTTTAAGTACTAAAGTAAGTTTTTGCGCCAAGTTCAGGGGGGTTTTTATGTATTTTCCCAAAACTCAATAAGTAAACCCATTCAAGATTAAACAAATCCCACAAAATGGACAAAACAAACAAAACAAACTAAACATGAAGACATTATGACTACAAAGCAAGAATATTGGATAACAGAGATACAATTTTTTAATTAAAGTAATTATAGTATATTTCACGAATATTGAAAAATGTGTATTAGAGCAAACACAATATTGTAGCAGCAAAAATATTATACAAAGCACTATAAAAAGATAAAATAAAAACAACAATCAGTGGAGTATGATTGGCGGCCTAAGTTCTGTTCTAGCTGTATGAAGTTTGGCCATGAGCTTCCCGCAATGTTGGAACAAGACTGCTGAGGGTGTGATGGAAGGGGAATTTCAGGAGAAGAAGAAACGAAAAAGAAGAAACAGGAGGAGGCCCCAGCCTCCCGTGTGGAAAGTAATGCACGGTCAAGCTACCAAAGATGAGACAAGGATGGTCAAGACTAAAATTCCATTGGTAGAAGAGACAAAGAATGAGGATGTATCAAAGGAACCAGAACTAGTGGCATCATTTGGTTGCTTGATACGATCGAATATACCAGTCCTAAATAGCTTCCAAAGTCTAACCATGGAGGCATCCACAAGTACAGGCGACCCCATGGGTCTTCACCTACAATGAGATAAGTTACGTGGAATGTTAGAGGGCTGAATCAGCCCTTCAAACAGAAAGAGTCAGGCTCTTTCTGAATAATAACAAGGTGGATGTGGTGGGACTCATTGAAACTAGAGTATAGGAAAACAAGGTTCAAAACATTATAAATAAGTTAGGAATTGACTGGATATCTTGTTGCAACTATCCAATGGGAAGGAATAGAAGAATCTGGTTACTGTGGAAGAATTCGGCCCAACTGCTCTAGAGTGCAGTTTCTGTAACAATGCAATGGAGACTGTAAAGCATTTGTTCTTTGATTGCTCTATCACTAAGGCTATCTGGACAAGATTACTGATTTGGTTAGGCTATTCCAGAAGTATTGGTGACAGGAAAAATGACCTACAATGGCTCAACACTCAGGCTAAAGGTACATCTGGAAAGGGGGCTCTAGTTAGTTGTGGTTTCGTTACACTGGTTGCATTGCTATGGAGGGAAAGGAATAAAATCAGGTTTGAACAGGGCCAGCTTCAAGTGGATAAGTTGGGCAGGGAAATTGCATATCATTTTCATGTGAGAGCTCAAGGTCGTCTAAGTTGGAAGGCTGCTCTTACTTTGATAGCTGGAGTTCCATAGAGTCGGGCAGACATTGGCTTAGTTTTGTTATTCCTTTTGAATGTCAAGGTAGTCATTGAATAGTTTGAGATAGATTTGATTGTAAGCCTATACATAGTGCCTTCTGTTAGTAGGAAATGTATAGACGGTGTGGCTGTCCAGTTATGCAAAATAGGTGGTCTGCACCTATTTAATTTTGTAATGATTCACTTTGGTTTTGAAATGAAACTATTTCGTTCACCAAAAAAAAAAAAAGATTAAAATAAAAGCAATAAGGAAAAATAGATTTATGTGGCAATTTTAGGCTCATACTTCTAAAAATGAGCAAAAAAGGTTTGGCATTTTTTAATTATGTGAAGAAACCTATATAATACCTAGAAATATTTAGGCATCAACAGTTGAAGGCCATTCCAGTTCGGTATGATCGTAAGCTTCCTCAATCGTCACCTGAGCTTTGTTCTTGTGCTTCCTCAGGGAGTCGTCACCATGCGTCCACCGATAGAGAAAAGGGGTAAGATATAATTTTTTTTCCTTGTTGGGATTATCTGGGTAAGGGAAAAGTTTTGGGTGCCAACGGAGAAGGATCTCTAATGGAGAACCACAGCTAGGACCCAATTTTTCTTACAATAACCCGCAACTTTTACCCAAAAATATAAATCCTTTCAATTTTCAACCTAACAATTAATTTATTTTTTGGCACATGCGGAATTATTTATCCACAAGAAACAAGAATGTAGTAAAATCATTGTAGATGTTAGTCAATACTCTAAGTGGGTTTTTGACCCTTCCATCTTGCAACTATTGTTTGGCCAATCTGTTTATCATAAGCTCAAAAGTAGCTTTTTCCCAAAAAAAATAAAAATTGAAGAACATTTTTGAGAAAAATACACTTAGAAGCACTTTGAAAAAGCTTGGCCAAACACTAATTGTTACTCAAAAGTGCTTTCAAAATTTATTGGCCAAACACAAATTGTTTCTCACCAAAAAGTACTTTTGGAAAAACACATTTCAAAATAAGCTCATTTTAGAAGTTTGGCCAAACATGCTATAAGCCTCGTGTTCACTTTGGTATATATGAGCCTTACATGTTTTGCCTTGGATTTGGGTTTGATAAAAAAAATTCACGATCTTAAGGTGGTGAGGATAGCCTAGTCGCAAGAGGATTGTGATACAAACGAGGTCGTAGTCTTTGATCATGTTATAGTTGTGTTGTCTAGTTCATTAGCCAGTATGGTAAATTGAAGTCGTGGATGGAGAAATTTGTTGTGGATTTAAAGGGTGAGATTGCAGATGCCTATGGGTTCATGAGAAATAGGGAATTTCTAGTGGTGAAATATCCTGAGAATATTTTATCATAGGATCTAGAGAACATGAAATATAAGGATCTTGTTATCCATGGTAGGTGTTGTTCATTCTTCTTGAGCAAATACGTCGAGAGTTTAGTGTTGCTTGATAGAAGCAGTGGGGCCACTATTGATCCTTCTGATTCCAAAGAGGCAACGGAGTTACAGTCTCAATGTTCCACTGTGACGATATTACAAGATTGCGACACTCTTGGGATTAACAGATGAAATAATTAAGGGAGAAAAAATTATGCACTTAATTGACAAGATATTTGTTGAGCAATTAGAAGCTATTTTTTTGCTAGATTTAGAACAACAAATCAATAGCTTAATAAGTATAAAATTTGCAAACTCTAAAGAATCTATATAATTGTAGCATAACACTACCCTAAGAGAAAGTATTATATTTCAAATACCTTTTATGAGTGCTTCAGTTGTAGGATACTATTTGGACTCTTCAAGTCTCAATCTAGGGTAAGCAATTTGTCTTTCAACTCTTTAGATAGGAAGAGATGAATTGGGGAAGTGCATTATATATTTGTAGAGAAAATGGTTTTATACTTAACCAAATACATAAGCGCCCTTTAAACTTAACTCTAGTTTTCATTTTGACACCTCAACTAAGACATGTTCCTATTTGACATTCCATGTTTTTATGTATTTGGCCAAGTACAAAATCATTTTTTCTCTAAAAATATATATTGAACTTCCTCAATTTCTCTCCCTCTAAAGAGTTCAAATCACGCCCAAAAACATAAGCTAGCACTCACAAAAGATATTTGGAATTTACTACCATTTAAAAAAATCACTATTTTTCCTTTTGGTTTAGTGTTACGCTGCAAACTGCAGTTATATATGCTCTTTACGCTACAACAAAAGAGACATAGTAGCAATAGATTTTCCTTTAGCGGTATAAAATAAGTTAATGCCATTGCATCCAAAGTCACTAAAGCCTTTAGCGGCATTTATATTGAGTATTGTTATAAATACTCATATTTATTATTCCTGCAAAATCCTTTATTTGTTGTAATGTTAGGGTTTGCAAATTTTAATACTAGTAAAGGTAATAATTTGACATTCTAAATTTAGCAAAAACAACTTTTTATGTATAATTTGTTACTTAAAATGAGCAGATTTTATGCGTTGATAATCTTAGTAAAAGCAAACAGGAACTACTTGAAAATATCCATTGTTTTTCTTTGTGGGTTTAAGTTCTATGAAACAAAGGGAAACTCAATACACAAAATGCAAGGTTCGGAGAAGGGTTGTACCCTAATGGGTATGATGTAAACAATCTATTTCATAAAACAATTTGGGATTCATCTAATATTTATGGTCAATTACGTCATATTGATCATTGATGGTTTCTTTACTAGGATTTGAATTGTGTTTTCTTGTATGATGTGTTAAAATGGTTTTGTTTCACTTCTTTAAGTATTGACACCACTTACTTAAACTTATATGTATGCCACGGTATCTCAAGTCAAGTTAAATATCAAGCCCAGTGGTTTTGGCTTGAGACCTCCACTCAAGTTCGAAACCCCTTGGTAGCAAAAGTAAAGGGTTTGCCTTCTGGGTTGAGCTCGTCGCACCATGCTTGCCTAGTGTGGGTTACTTCTCCTGTGTGCATCCAAAGGATAGCGGATGCAGGTTTCCCTTGTCATAAAAAAAAATAGGAATAGTTGATGATTTAAATTAAAATGCACCTTTATTTCTTATCTAGATAGTTTGGGGATTCCATGCTACATATTATTATTAATTTTCTGCAGGTTCTTGGTGATCATTGTTACAAGTGCTTTTGTTCTTGTGTTGATTTGACAATGTGAACAGAAATTTTGTCCACTATTAAAAAAAACAATGGAAATGGGATTCCTCCTACAATAATAAAGTCATAAAGAGAAAAGTTAATCCAAATCATCACCAGATTGTTTTGAAATTGAAGGAGGAACTAAATAAGGAGATGAATTTTCAATCCCCCAAGTAAATGCATTGAAATGTATTTGACAACAAAATATGGTTTCAAGGAAAGGAGATAAAGATAGTTTGAAAAAGGGGGCATATAAAGGGAAACAAATCAACAACAAAAATGGGATTCCTCCTACAATAATGAAGTCATATAGAGAAAAATTAATTTGAATCATCATTGGATTGTTTTGACAGTGAAGGAGGAATCAAATTAGGAAATTTATTATACCTTACTTCCCTATCCCTTTTACTTCCATTTTCCTCTTTCCTTTACTTTTTTTTTTTTTTTTTGAAATTGGTAAATTGTATTCTTCAGCATTAAGTCTATGCTGGCAACCTCCAAAAAGTTTACGGAAAAGGAAAAGAGAGATACTTACAAGGAGCCTATAAAATCCACTTATTGGATTTCCTCTTCTATACTTTGTTCTTTACACCAAAAACCTAGTGAAGTATTAAATTTCCACTTAATCTTCAAAATAGAGGATTCTTTTCCTTCAAAGATCCTCTGGTTCCTCTCCTTCCAAATGGTCCACCAGATGCAGGTTGGGACTGTCGTCCACCATCTTTTCTGGCTTTTGCTTCCTCCTCTTCTGATCCAACAGCTAAGTCTGCAGTATGTTCAGACATGATCCAGGTGATTCCAGCAATGGAAGTGAAGATAGCCCAAACTTGTGTTGTTACTTTGCAATGCATGAAAAGGTGTTTGTTGATTTCTAGTGCCTCATTGCAGAGGAGGCATCTAGATGCTATGACGGACCCCCCTTTTTTGCCATGCCTCATGTGTCAAGCATGCTTTCCTAGCTACTAGCCAGGTGAAGCATTTCACTTTATTAGGAGCCACACTCTTCCATATAGTATTCCAAGGTCCAGTTGACCTGCCTACAACTACACTCAGTCCCCTTTTGTATACCCTGTTAACAGTGAACATTCCATCATTGTGGTGCCCCCAAATGAGTTTGTCTGAGTTTGCATTAGTGCCTGGGAAGTTTCCTATTAGGTTTAGAAAATCTGCTACCCATGTATTTCCCAATCATTTAGGAGTCTTCTGAATGTCAGGTTCCACCCTTGAGGGAACCACATTTCTTGTATACGGTATCCAGTATTCAAGCTTATTGAAAATAGTCCAGGGAAAAGGGATTGAAGAGTGCCATGACCACTCCAGTCCTCTTCCCAAAAAAGTACCTTGCCTCCCCTACCAAATCTAACTTTAGTGTTAAGCTTGAGAGTCATCCATAGATGCCTGATAGATTTCCAAACATCAACCCCATAGGTATTAGTCACTTTATTAGTGCACCACTGCCCCTTCGGACCATACTTATGAAGGATAATCCCCTTCCACAAGGACTGATTTTCTTGAGTAAATCTCCATAGCCATTTGATAAGTAAAATCTTATTATGAAGCTTTACGTTCCTCACTCGACCTCCAAAACTCTTGCTTTGCTGAACTGTGCTCCATTTACCAGGTTGAAACTTTTCTCAATCTTGCTTCCTTGCCACAAGAAATCCATCCTCAACTTGTCTAAGATTTTCACCACCTCACCGGGGATGGGAAATAAAGACATTACATATGTTGGCAAAGAATCTCGGACTGCATTGATCAAAACAACTCTACCTCCCAGGGAAAGGTATTGTGATTTCCAAAGAGCCCGTCTTTTTTCTGTTTTCTCTATTATTCCATCCCATATATTCACAGTTTTGTGATTAGCACCCAATAGCATTCCCAAATAAATTGTGGGCAACTCCTCTATCCTGCACTTCAAAATATTTGCCAGACTGAATTTGCTGCTCCTCTTTCACTAGAAAAATATCGCTTTTCCTCCAGTTAACCTTCAATCCAGAGCAAGCTTCAAAGATCACCAGTATCAACCTTAGGTAGCAAATTTGTTCTCGTTCAGCTTCGCAGAAAACCAGTGTCATCAGCATATAATAAAAAATGTTTTCCTCTTTCCTTTACTTTTTTCCTTCTTTCCAAAATAGAGGCAATGGCGACTTGCTCGAAATGTATTTGGCAACAAACTATGGTTTTAAAGAAGTACTTATACACGCAGGTTTGTGAGAAAAGAGAAAGAAAGTAAAGTGTCAAACCTTTTATTTTAATACAGTCCAAAAAACCCAAAAAACATTGTCTTTTACAATTCTATATTCATCCAATATTCAACAAATTAAAGACTTGAATGC